TTCTATCTTGGTGACATGGGAGACCCCGAAATGGTTCGAAATCCACAGGAGTCTAAGTAAGAAACCAACTGAAACTGATCCTTTATCTGCAAGAATCACAGTCACAATAGTTTCAAGAAGATACCGTGCCAAAGTTCTTGAACTCCAAAGATTGAATACCTCACATGAACCCCTGCCACTATGAGCACGCGCCTCTACAAACCACCATCAATATCATCCCTTCCTCAACTGAATATGAAATGCACAAACTTGAGAATCTATCTCTGGCCTCGCAAGAACTTCGGGGTAACTTCTCTAAATCGTCTTCACACGATCACTTCAAATCAAACCAAAACTCCCCCATTCTCAAGCATACAAACACATGAAACCGCCCACGATCGTAGGCATGAAGCCCTCTCACTGGAGTGATCGACGTGGCACATTCAGAAACATGGCACTAATTTTTTTGATAAACGAAACATGGCACTAATATTTATTTTAGAAATCTACAAGTTTTTATGAAATATTAATTTTAATTTTAATTTTAATCTAAAATTTAAAATATTTATTAAATATAAATTAAAATATGAAATATTAATTTGAAATGAAATCTGAAAGACTAACTGTCCTGAAAAAATTCTACCCAAAAACATAACAACACAAGCGCATAAGACTATTCAATTATTTTTTTCCTTAATTTTATAAATATATCTGTAAATTCATACTTTTTTAATCTATAAATTTTAATTTTAGTGTTATGAAATATCAATTTTAATTTAATATTTGAAAGATTATTAAATGTAATTTAAAATAATATTAATTTGAACCTACAGAGTGACCAATTGCCACTTTTTAATGAAATATTGGTTTTGATTCAAAATTTAAAATATTAATTGAATTAATTTAAAGCATAAAATATTAATTTGAAATCAGAAAACTGCCCATAACACAGCCTTGAAATACGGCACAATGTGGGCGGGTGTGATCAAAGTCACAACCTCAGAGATTCCTTCAAAATTTCATTCCAACAGCACGTTTTTTGGAATTAATGATCCTAACTAAACAAAAAAATATTACTTCACTTGATTGTAATTACTAGCAAAAAACTGTCCACCTTCACCATTAAAATGGATAATTTTTTTAATTTAATAGCTATCATATATTCAAAAGACTGCCCACCTTCAAAATTACTTAAAATCAAGAAATTAAAAATAAATTTGTAACATGATATCTGAATTTTTTGAATATAAAAATTTATTCTATTTATTTTTAAAGAAAGCCTATCACGTGGCATGATATAAGCATGCTTTGATAAAAAAACTGTTCACGTTCACCTCTAAAAAGGATAATGTTTTAATTTAGCAGCTAGCATATATTTAGAAAACTACTCACATTCAAAATTATTTGTAATCAGAAATTAAAAATAAATTTGAAACATGGGATCTTAATTTTTTTTGCTGTCATACATAAGCGGTTCTATAAATCGAATTCAATTCTGAAATCATTGATAATGAAACTGTCTACCCACATTCCATAGTCCATGATCTAAAACGTGGGGTAACCAAGATATGCAGTAATCAAACAATTATTAAATGATGTATTAAATAGCAAAAGAGATTACTCTTTATTTCAAAACGATTAAACAAGGAACAAAAAAAGGACCGGACACTAAACTAGATAAGGTAGTGGTTTAAAGGTTAATAGGTCAGATCGGGATCAACTCGGAATCAAATCGGTCACATTAAAATAATATAATTTAATTAAAAATAACAAAATATAACAATACTAATAATTACTAATAATAAAATATAAGGAAATACAATAAAATTTTGATTGTAATAATCATGAAGTACAACAATATTAAGAATTTTAATCTTTACAATTTTTCAATAACTAAAGTTAATAGTTATTGATACCAAACTCATCATCAAAATTCATTTAAATCTACAGTAATTGAGATATTAGGAGCTGAATGAGAAAAAATAGGATAAATATCAATATATTTATTTAAACCAATTCATTATCGGTTCATTCCGATTTGACTGGTTCAATCCGGTTTGAACCAGTCTCCAATTTAGCCTATGAACCATACCGGACTACTGACCAGTTCACCGGTTTATCGGTTGAACTGGTCAGTCCGGTTCCGGTGTTGTTTACACTACAATTAAAAACTTGATGCATTTATCTTCTTCCTTGTTTTGCCACTTGTCGCACTTTTAAATAGCCTTGTAAAGACCCCTCCCTTATAATAGTAATAGATTCAAATTAATATTTGAAATTTATTAATCAACTAAGGTTTTTGAAACTAAATTATAATTAAATAAAATATTTGGAACCTAACTCTCATTCCCTCTTTATAGATTCTAAATTTTGTCTCTTCCATGATCTCTTAGCGTTTAAACACAACAACAAAACTTAATTATTTTCAAAAAAATAAACACTCAATAAAAGTATTGAATGCAAAAAAAAAAACCTGTGACTAGTATATTTAAGAAATTTAAAGTCAACTTTCAAAACAGAAAGACAGCATTTTTGAAACGGAAGAAAAGAAGACAAAATTTGTTAATAAAACAATTTCGATAGTCTCGTTCATGAAGAAAGAGGACTTAGAAAGTCAATTAATAATGCTCTTTCTTTAATATTATTTGACTTTTCAAAGAGACTAAAGACTTGTAAGTTGTGACTCGTGTCGTGAGTGTGATTGATAAAAAGGCAACATAGAAGCGTGTGTGGCTGAGAGGGAACTTCCCCTGTCACTATTAGAATAAGACTTTGAAGAATCCTTTTAAAAAAAAATTAAAATTACTAAATCTCAAATAAATTTTTTTAATAAAAATGTATTATTATTTATAAATTTAGTATTATTAAAACCTATTAAAATGTTACTATCAAATATAATCTAAAATTTGGTAATTTTAAGCTTCGTTCTATGAGATTTTCTCCTAGACTTTTGTCCCTTTAAATACATTGCTATTTTCTGTGAAGTTATGTATTATTGTAAAAGAATTTAAGTTTTGAATTCTATTGTTATATTATTGCTTCAACAATATAATTTTGAATTCATTTAGTGTGTGTAGATACGCTTCTAGTCCTATTTATAAATCACTTCCAATATGTTTCATATAAGCTAAGAAAACATTAAACTTCATTAACTCTTATTTAAACTTTAACAACTTTTTAATTTTATCTCTATTTAATATATATTATACCTCATGTAAACAAAGTTAATACAACAATAAATAAAGGGTAAAATTGTACATCCTTATAAAGTTTTTTTTTTTCTAAATGCCCTATAAATAGGACCAAAAAAAGTCTTCTTTTTTTGCCCTATAAATAAGACCAGAGTTGTAGTATATATATTATGCATGTTATGTGACATTTAATTATTTGACCTCTTCTTATAAATATAAATGAGGCGCTATTATATTTTGACTTAAGACATAATTCAGGTGATAAAGATAAAATGCACTATAAGTAATAATCAAAGTTCAAAGTCAAAGTCTCGCTATGTAAGAAATATTATAACAGACCGGTATATTTTTATTTCAAATCTTAATACTATCTTCGATTCTAAATATAAGAGCTAACTGGTTATCCCAAATATAAGAGTTAGCTGGTTATCTTAAATATAAGATTTTAATCCATTTTGTCTCTTAAATTTATAATGTAATCTAAAAAATATCCTCATTAATCATAAAGTATTTTTTCCACCCAAGTATGTTTTTTTTTTGGGGACTGACCCAAGTGTGGTTTTAATGTAGATGATTGAATAAGAGTAATTTAAAAAAGTCAACACACACTTATTACAAATGACTAACTTAACTAATTTGTTTAATTCTTTAAATTAGTTATGCAGTTTTTATATTAAAGACCAAAGGTAGATTAGGATGTAAAACATTATAACCTTTAATTTGCTATGCCTATATTTATGATGGCAAATGTCACAATTGTAATTTCTGTGAAAATGAATGAAAACAAATAGTGCGTGACTATATGCTTATACAATTTTTTGGTAAAATTAAGAGTACATAGTCTTCATTAATCCAAATTGGAGTATGGTTGAGTTTAAATAAAAAAAACTCTTTTAATATGTTTGTAAATCCAATATTCATAAATGGTTGGAAACAAACTATTGCCTCATTTACTTAATATAAGATTTATTTAACTAATTTAAGTGACTAAAAAATAAAATAAATTAACTAAATAATAAATGTGACTTGTTCTTATTAAGATATCTCAGTACAACATCCTATAAACTAGTAATTTAATATCCCCTATATTAATGCACTATGCACTTCTCCATTTTAAATATAAATCCTAGTAAAAGAATTTGTTTTGGCTCTAAAATATAAGATTCCAATTTTTTTTACTTTTAAATTTATATTTTGTTCTTTAAATCATTCTAGGTTATTGAAGGGAATTTCATCAAGAGGCAATTTGCAACACGTATGATTAAAAGAATATTTTAGAAAATCAATAGACGTTTCTCACAAAAACTAATTTAATCAATTTTTCTAAATTTCTGCAATCAGACGCCTAGATTTCATCTACATTTAGAAGCAGTAAAGTTATGTATGTTTATTTTCACTCTGGACATTGACGAAAAGGGTCATCAAGTACGAACATAACTTCACATATGGCTAACACAAAAAAACATAAGGAGGTTTTTCATTCAAAGCTTGTGTCTCACTTCATAGACTCGCAATCTCGGGTTCTTTTGCATTTCAAGATGGGTCTTGAAGCGTGGAATTCAAAGTTTTTCAGTTTTTCTTCCATGCGCTCTGAAATTGCAGTAGCACCGAACTTGTCAACAACCACATAGTAGTATTACGAGAAAAGACCATAAGGTTCTGATGACTTCCAAAGAAACTTACGCATCACCATGAGCTAGATTCAGTCAAATCTAAAGCGATTTGCAATGTATAAAAGGACTGATTCCTAAGGCAAAATCCATCTTCATCTTCCTCACTTTCATCACTTCTTTCATCACTTGTAGAAAGTGTCTCTAATATTTATACACAATGAGGTCTATCTCATGGATTTTCTTGTTACCCTTCTGCTTCATAAACCTTGGCATCAATGTCTTTGTTGTGACTAGCCATTGTCTCAGCCATCAAAAATCTGCTTTGCTTCATTTGAGAAGAAACCTTATATTCAACCCTTCTGAGTCGAAAAAATTGGTTCATTGGAACCAAAGTCATGATTGTTGTCAATGGAATGGAGTAACATGTGATAAGGGACATGTTATAGCTCTTGATCTAAGTGGAGAATCCATCTCTGGTGGACTTGATGACAGTTCCAATGGCATCTTCAACTTGCAATTTCTGCAAAATTTGAACTTGGCTCATAACAAGTTTCATTCTGTGGTTCCTTCAAAGCTGCACAAGTTGAGCAATTTGAGATATCTGAATTTGTCAAATGCTGGCTTTGAGGGTCAGATACCAGTTGAGATATCTTATCTAGCAAAGCTCGTTTTTCTTGATCTTTCTACCTCACTTCACACACTTAAACTTGAGGAGCCAAATGTCACAATTCTTTTACAGAAGTTCACAGAACTCAAGGAGCTATATCTTGATGGTGTGAAGATGTTTGCTCAGGGGAAGGAGTGGGGCCAGGCACTATCCACATTGCAAAATCTTCAAATTGTGAGTATGTCATCTTGTAATCTCTTTGGCCCTATTGATTATTCAATTGCAAAGCTTCTATCTTTATTGGTTCTTCGGCTGGACAATAACAATATAGCAAGCTCGGTGCCAAAGACCTTTGTGGGATTGACCAACTTAACCAACTTGCAACTTAGAAATTGCAACTTGAGTGGAGTGTTTCCAGAACAGGTCTTCCAAATGCCAAACCTACAAGTCATTGATGTGTCAGATAATCAAGATCTTCAAGGTTCTTTACCAAAATTCCAACATCATGGATTTCTCCACAGTATGAACCTTAGCCATACAAAGTTCTCAGGGCAGCTACCTAGTTCTATTCACAATTTGAGGAAGTTGTCTGCATTAGACCTGTCAAACTCCAAATTTAGTGGAACACTTCCTTGTTCAATCTCCAAGGTGACCTCACTTGTCTATCTAGACTTGTCATTCAATAATTTCACTGGCTCTCTTCCATCTTTCAATTTGTCCAAGAGCCTCACATATCTATCCCTCTATCACAATGGCTTGGAGGGTGAAGTTCCATCAGTTCATTTCACAGGCCTTGAAAATCTTATCACTATTGATTTGGGTGACAATTTATTCAATGGGAAAGTTCCATCATCTCTTTTTACACTTCGATCATTACGCGAGCTGATTCTCTCCAACAATAGATTTGAGGGTCTTCTAGATGAATTTCCAAATGCTTCTTCCTCCCCATTAGAGATCCTTGATGTTAGTGGAAATAATTTACAAGGGCCTGTTCCTGTGTCTATCTTTCAGCTCAAAAGACTCACTTTGCTCCAACTTTCTGCAAACAAGTTCAATGGAACTATAGATTTGGGTATGATGAGAAGCATGGAAAATTTGGCTACACTAGATCTGGCTCACAACAATTTCTTGGTTGATACAACTTTGGTGAACAACCACAATTTGTCATCACTACCCAAATTGAACAATTTCATGCTGGGTTCTTGCAAATTGAAAGAGTTTCCCAGTTTTTTGAGAAATCAATCCAATTTGTTGTACCTTGACTTATCCAGCAACCAAATTCGAGGAACAATACCCAATTGGATTTGGAGGTTTGATTTCATGGTCTTTCTTAATCTTTCCAACAATTTTCTCACAGATTTGGAAGGTCCTTTTCACAATATTACTTCTAATTTGTTTCTTCTTGATCTCCACTCCAACCAACTCAAAGGCCACCCTCCCATTTTTCCAAAAAATGTGATCTATTTGGATTACTCAAGCAATGGATTTAGCTCTATTGCCCCACTAGATATTGGCAATCATCTCCCTTTCACATATTTTCTCTCTTTTTCAAACAACAGTTTTCATGGAAAAATCCATGAATCCCTATGTAACATGTCAACTCTCCGTGTGCTTGATCTTTCTGACAACAACTTCAGTGAAACCATTCCTGAGTGTTTTACAAGAATGAGTAACACACTTAGGGTGTTAAATCTAGCTAGAAACAACCTCAAAGGCCAAGTTTCTAATACATTTTCAGCTTTTTGTGCCCTTCGATTCCTAGATCTCAATGAAAATTTCTTAAGTGGTACAATCCCAAAGTCATTGGCTAATTGCCAAAAACTACAAGTCTTAAACCTTGGAAACAATCAATTGACCGATAGATTTCCGTGTTTCTTGGGGAATGTATCCACTTTGAGAGTCATGATTCTAAGGTCAAACAAAATTTATGGGACACTTGAATGTCCAAATAGCATTGGAAAGTGGGAGACGCTTCAAATTGTTGACCTGGCCTCAAATAATTTAAATGGTACTCTACCTATAGCGCTCCTGCAAAGTTGGAAAGCATTGATGAGACCAGCTGAAGATGAAAGTGGCACAAAATTTGGCCAGTTGTCTTTTGACATCTATGACAACGCTAATGTTGTGGACTTCAAGAATGCATTATCAACTGTGAACAAGGATCTTGCACCAAAACTAGCCGAATTGATAGCAGTAGAACCACCTTTTGTGATTAGCCACTTATTCTCTGATATTAATGCCAATGATTTTGGTCTTCAAAGTTATCTAGATTCGGTGACAATTGTCAACAAAGGAAGACAACTAAAGTTGGTTAAGATTCTTACGGCCTTCACATCTTTGGATTTCTCATCCAACCACTTTGAAGGGCCAATACCAGAAGAGCTAATTGATTTCAAAGCACTTCATGCTCTTAATTTGTCACGAAATGCTTTTTCAGGCCATATCCCTTCATCTATAGGGAATCTGAAGTATCTTGAGTCCTTAGATTTGTCTATGAACTCTTTTAGAGGAGACATACCAACAGAGCTTGCAAGTTTGTATTTCCTTGAATTTTTGAACCTCTCTCACAATCATTTGACTGGGAAAATCCCAACAGGGACTCAAATTCAGTCATTTGAAGCAGATTGTTTCAAAGGCAATGAAGCCTTATGCGGACCTCCATTGACACAAAGTTGCAATTTGGGTGAGATTCCAGGTTTGCAAACACCATCTTCAAAAACAACTGAATCAAATGATGGGAACTCCATTGATTGGAATTTTTTGAGTGCTGAATTGGGATTTACTTTTGGCCTTGGCATCATTATCCTTCCTCTCATATTCTGCCAACAATGGAGATTGCAATACTTCAAATACGTAGACTACATACTTTGGAAGATCATCCCTCAGCTTGATTTTGTATATGAACGTCGTGAAGGGAAAACTTACAGAAGCTTAAGATGGAAACCATATTAATTTTTGTCAAATAAAGAAGAAAAAGCTTGCAATTCCCTTTCTCCCCCACCCACCCCAAAAAAAAAAAAAAGGAAAAAGAAAAAATTAGGAAGAGATGAATAAAATCAATAGGAAGTGAATCATGGTTTTCTTTCTATCAAGTATTTCGGGTTAGTTTTATTGTCTTAATGGAGTACAAATGTTAGACATAGAATAAGAGTGCAAAGGAAAATAAAGAGTTGATAGAGCAGTTCTTACTTTTCCTATTATTGTTCAAGGTGAATTTGAATTTGCTTTTCTCCAAAAGTTGACTTTAATATAATGATGCTGCCATTTAAACAAAGAGCAAATTTAACCTAGAAATGAAAGATGATAAATTTTTGAAATTGGAACAAATTTAGAGTTCCTTTTTTTTTTTATGAAGTTATTTACATCAAGCATGTTATTTTACCCTTAAATGAATAAACAACCCTATAATCATCAATACATCAATATCAATGTAAATATAAAATTTTATAAGAGTTATCATGAGTAATGAGATTTTTTTTTGGGACCCGATGCAATTTTTTCCTCCTATCTTTCAATTTTCTTCCTACCACGTGGAAGTGCCATCAATCATTCAGGCGTTATTTCCATTGAATCAAACTAGGACAGTTTATTGGAGAGAGCTAGGGAATCCAACAATGGCGCCGAAGGCTTTTGAGCATTCCAGGGAAAGACTACGATAAGGAAAGGCACTACTAATAGAGAATCAAAATTAAAAAGTAACAAAAAAATGCTCTGATTTTTTATTTAATTGACACAACTCTACTTCAAAGACCAAAAGAAAAAAGAAAAAAAAACAGAGTATCTTTTTCTGCTGAAAATTAAGATTCAGGGGGTGCTCAATGGTTATAAACTATGTGCAGGCCAATTAAATTTTATTATGCTTGGCCTCTTTGTAATTTTACGATCCTGATGTTATTTTTGCTTGCTTGACCTGTCTCCCTGTGGTACTGTACAGTTTTACTTGAATAAAAAACACACTTTCATCCCAAAAAAAAAAAAAAGAAAAGAAAAAGAAAGATGAGGGTCTTTTGGGGCACCGAAAGCAACATTCATCTCTCTGTTATCACCTTTTCCTTTTATCATTAAACTACAACGAATCCACTCTACGCAAAATTGAGGTAGGGGAAAAGTGTTCATGTGTAGTTTCTAAACAAGATAAAGTACTTAAAACTAATGTAAACAGTACAATAACATGATTACTCTTGAATTCTAAATAACTCGAGTATGTTTAATTCCACATATTCTAAGAAAAATTAGAAAGAAATTTAATTGCAAAAAAATCTCAATAATAAATGATTAACCTGAATCTATTGTCATTCTTTTCTTTAAAACTTGTCATTGCTTACTCTTTATTTGTCAATGAATTTTAAGACAGGTAAATCCCTTTCTCGAAACCTCAATGCAAAGTCATCATGTGCATTTGTTATATTTGGACCTAATTTCAGCAAACATGATGCTCTGTAATTAACAATCCAGGTTTTTTCTAACGGAACAGGATTTAATTAAAATCCCCAATGATTCAATTTTAGCAGCCGTGTAACCTCCAAGTCGTGTCACAATCAAGTGCCTCGTTCTGCACTGAGCTTAAAACCGACCTGAGGAGGGCATAGATATGGGGATTGTGGCTGAGAATAGAACCAAGCATAGTATTAACCAGAATAACAAATGTTTACAATTAACTCATCTGTTTCTATTTCCATGTCAAAAGGATTGCCATTGATGTCAAGCGGCCTGCTCAGGCTTTTTTTCAACAGTTTACTTAACAGCATAACCATCCCCTCTGATCGTTATAATTTACAAAGTAAATCATTCACAATAGGTTATTTGATTGGTGATTAGCTAACTTTCAATGTACACACAAAATCTTGCACTACAGGTCAAGCGCAAACCTAAAATATGCTACATTGTGTCTTGCTCTTACCCGTTGTCATTTCTTTTTCCCAAGAACCAGGCCACACACGAGCCAGGCGAATGAGAGCACTCCATAAACATATAATCCTGCACCAATCAAGGACATAAATCTCAGCTAAACCATAAATTCAAATCTGCAATTTCTGCGGAAAAGATTTACCATCGGTGGAAATAATAAAATGAGCCAAAAATATAGAACTAGAACAAAGATATTCCTCCCTCAAAGGTTCCAGGCATTTTTCTGACACTCCATTGATGTGGAATTCAAAATTAACAGTATATCAATGTGTTATAGATCTAGTTAATTGGCTCTTTTGACATATAATTATTCATAATTGGCTCTAGTTTTCATCTCTGCATCAAAAAAGATACATCCCACAATTTGCAACTGTACAACAGCATTGCCAAGGTTGACGCCAAACAGCTGGGGACTAGAAAAGCAGAGAAAATCTAGAACTCAAAATCATTACACTATTTCAGGAGAAAAAGGTAAAAAGAAAAAATTAATTACTGTGGTAGCTCAAAAGAAGGAACAAGAAAAGTGGATATTAAGGTGACATACCAGCATAGGCAACTGTTGCACCCAGAGCCAATCTTCCTAAAGCAGACAATACATAAAGGCAAAAAATCACCTGAAATAAGATGTACATAAACCATTAGTTCTTTTACATGCCTCTTCATCAAAAGCAAAATCAAATGTATGACAACTACTACGGGATTATAACTGTCAAAAATCAACCAGTGCTTTCTGGAATCTAAGCACACAAATAGTCCAATACTTTGAGAGAATGGCAGGATGAATGAATTCTTATTCAATGATCAAACAACCTTAAATGTTGGCAGAGAATGTTAACAGATTGCGAATGAATGGAAAACATATTAAAATGCAGTCAAGATAAGCAGAAGATGCATAAATTGCAAAACTAATGACATTCCATCAGATGCATTCAACACCCATAGTTTCACGCCTTAGCAAAACTTGAATTCAAATAGGTCATGCTCATGTGTTTCTCTTCTATAAACATTAAATAAAGACTCACGAGACATAAAACAAAAAGGAAAAACCACAATTTCTGGAGATTGAATTGATGTTTTTTACCAAGTGAAAATAGATTTAAGTTGCAGAAACTAAACAATACCTTTAGAAACAGTCTCTTGTCATGCCCTGTTGCTGCAACTCTTAATACAGACCCGGCTGCACCTATGGCATTAACGAACCACGCAACAATGCTATTAGCAGTGTCCTGAGTTACTTGCCATTCAAGTGGATCGACTGGGACCCTAAAACAGTTTTTCAGAAGGGGACAGGGTGTATTAGATAAGTTGAAAATATGAAGGCCATTTGCAAATGAAGAACACACATCTTCCTTCTGCATCTAAGCGTGGATCTGATGAAAAAGAAGACTAGAGACATAAGCACGACAGAGACAATACTAAAAATACACTTCTTATGAAATCATATCAGATGTCCAAGCCGCCAACCAGGGCGATCATTCAAAATTTTAAAAACTCAAAAATCAAAAGGACCAAATAATTTTGTTCTAACTGATTATGCTAGCAATTAGCATTGAGAAATAGGAAATGCCGTCATCCATGTTTAAGGCAACTAAGAACTAAGACTAAATTGTGTCCGAAATATCGTTATATACAGAAAAGCAGACTGAACAAGAAAAGAAAAGGAAGGGAAAAAAAAACCCTAATTGGATGGTCTTATTTAAAAAAATTAAGCGACAACAAGAAAGATGAAGGAAAAAGAACAAACTTGGGTGATTACGATATGTTCATTTGACGGAAGAGAAGGCCGAGAATGGCGAGGGAGCACAGGAGAACGATGAAGACATCGGAGACCAAAGAAACGAGGATAGAATTCCGGCAGGCACAGTGATAGTATACCAGGGTGCTGCATAACAACAGCATCATCGGCTTCCCTACTTCGCCCCTTCTGCTCTCCATAATTCTCGCGACCAGAAAACTGATCTCCCTCGTACCATGTCCCTACATAGACAATTGGAAATCAGCGAACCTACCTTCCAAGTTTTCCTCTGGACTTCTCCTTCGAGTTTCAACCAATTCCAGTACCTCACCTTATCCTGAATTTAAAACAGCTTTACTAAAATAAAATCCAATTTTAGAAACGGAAACTATTTACTACCTTCAGGAACTAAAATTGGGACAGGAGTTAGTACTTCTCGTGTCTTAAATATAAGACTCTTATACTGTGTATAAAAGTTACAAAATATAAGAGTCTTATATTTAGGACTGGAGGAGTATTTAAAATTTTAGGGGCTAAAACAAAACAAAAAAATTTCATGAACTCAAACAAAAATAATACTATCTCCGGTTCTATTTATAAGAGCTAGTTGATTAATTTGAGAAGATTAAGGAAAGAAGTTAAGTTGGTTATTTATAATAAATAGGTGTTATTTTTTCTAAAATATCCTTACTAATCAAGTGTATTGGTTAGAATTATTATTATTAGAAGGACTATCTTGAAAAAAAAAATACACAAATACGAGAGACAAAGTGGATTGGAGTCTTATATTTAGGACCAAAATAAAAGTCAAACAAGGTCTTATATTAAGGACCGGAGGTACTATCTAATTTCAGGGACTAAAATTAATATTAATTCAAAATTTATAAAACAAAGCTTTATGAGAGTTTGGCAACCTTTAGAATCACTTTAAAAAAGTATTATCATACAAACCAAGACAAAACATTTCTCACGTACTTACTTCATATATTGTAAAATTATTTTTAAAAAACTAATCTAAACACTCAATTCTCTTATAATTGTTAGTTTTAAATAATTGATTTTTGTAATTATTAAATGTTTCATAACTTTTTAAGATGCTAAGAATATTTTTAATGATGCACATGAATTAAATCATAAATTTTCAAAATAAAAAAGAGATTCTCCTTTGCAATCCCAATACCACTGAGGTTTGGTTTTAACACTATGTGAATCACACTTTCTAGACGTGCAATCCTTCATTACTCTTTCACTTATTTGTAGCCATTTTGTGTTGTAAGTTTGGTAAAGCTTCTCCCAAGAGACTGGGTTTTTACATGTTTTTTTTTTTTTTGATCTGAGGGTTTTTACATGTTTTAACATCAAAGATCACTTCAATGTCATTTAATATTAAATTCACATTGATCATTTGTCAATAATATTCTAACTGGTTGATATAGCGATGTTTATTGTTTGCCTGAATAGGATTAAACTTGTCAATGTATATGGATAGGTTGGCAGCTCATGCTATAACAATTTTAAGTTAGGAATACACAAAATGATGATTTTGTTCCAATACTGAAATTCTCATGTCATGAAAGAGAAGTGAAAAATATATTGATTAGACTATCTACTCGTGGTTTGCTTGTTGGACTATAGTCAAACATGTTATAGATAAATTAAAATATATTTTACATGAAATAAAAGGTATTCATATCAAGAATAAATACTAAATAGTAATAAAATTAAAAAAAATAACCTGTAACCCAAGAAATAAAAGATTTTTCTTGAAAAAAATTAATGAGTTAAAAGATATAATAAAATAATGATACAAAAAAAGAGGACTTTACATAAAATTGTTAATAATATCAAAATAATGATAAAAAAAAAAACTATATCAAAGGATACATTTATGGCAAGGGAATTATGACTATACATTTTTTGTTTTGGATCTAAGAGACGAAAATACTTATAAAAATTTTGTAAGGGAAATACAAATGATAAATTATACTACATCCAGTCTTTAATATAAAAGATAATTTAACATTTAATTTGGTTTTAAGTATAAAATCTTAATCCACTTTGTCTCTCATATTTATCTATTTTTTTAAGATAGTTCTTATGGTAGTTGCATACATTAAAATTTTTATCAAATGATAGTTTTAGTTAATACACATGATTATTAAGGGTATGTTAGGAAAAATAACACCTAGTTATTAAAATAATTAACTTAATTAATTTTTAAATATACTCAAATTAATCAACTAATTTTCACATTAAGAGTCGGAATGCAGTGCTATGATACAGTTTTGCCCATAAAACTTCAAAAATATTACTCCTCCGATCCTTAATATAAGACCCATTTAACTAATTTGATTAGATTAAGGAAGTTAGGTAAGTTAGTTAATTATAAGAAAAATGACACATTTTTCCCAAAACATCATAATCATCTTTCTTAATACCCCATCTCCCTCTTTTACTTGATTATGGTTGAGGGAATATTCATAGGGGTAATTTAGAGAAAATTGATAAATATAAGAAAAGAGTCTTATATTTAGGATCAAAATCAACTTGAGAATTGGGTCTTATATTAAGGACCGGAGGAGTATAAAACATCCCCAATCCATATAAGAGACCACGTGTTCATTTTAACAGTGGTGAGTCTCACATACAGTAACATAATTAAATGAGTTTAAGGCAAAAATACCTATAAAGTAATATGTGAGGAGTTACATGCATCGTGAGAACTTTATTATAGTGAGGACCGGAGGCAGTGCTATAGCACAATTTTGCTCATAAAACTTCAAAAATATTATTCCTCCCATATTTAATATAAGATCTATTTAACTAATTTGATTAGGTTAAGAAAATTAGGTAAGTTAATTAATTATAAGAAATATGACATGTTTTTCCTAAAATACCATAATAATTTTTCTTAATATTCTTCCTCCCTCACTTACTTGATTATGATTGAAAGAATATCCATAGGAGTTATTTAGAAAAAATTAATAAATATGAGAAATAGGTGTTATATTTAAAACCAAAATCAATTTAACAATTAGATCCTATATTAAGAACTAGAAGAGTATAAAAAATTCTCAATCCATATCAGAAACCACATGTTCATTTTAATAGTGATAAGTCTCACATACAGTAGTATAATTAAATGGGTTAAGGACAAAAATACCTATGAAGTAATATGTGAGGAGTTTACATGCATTGTAAGAACTATATTATAGTGCAATTTCACCCATCAACATTGAAAAACGGTACAAAAATCCAATTGTTAACAAAATGCATATGTTGGCATAAATTGACAATGAATGTAAAAAAGATTTAAATTCTATCTGATCATGAAGTATAGACGTGAAAATACATGTTTTCAAATTTATTCTAACAAATAAAAAACACAACACACAATATTTTATTGTTGTCACTCTTAAAAGCCACACCAGCACACTTTTGATTCAAAGCTTGCAAGGTACGTGGACTCCTAATTGTCACCATATAAGGGGTTAGCGCCTTAGAAGAGGGTTCGATGGGAAGTGGTGGGCTTGGCGATTGGAGTGGGTAAGAAGAGGTTTGAGCTAAGCAATAGAGATAAAAGACAATTATCAATAGGGGTAGCTCTAGCCGAAAAGGTGAATGGATGTTCAAATTTTTACTAAAAAATGTGCTTATATTTAATACCTGACAGTATCTCAAATAGGATTACTGATTACTTTTAATAGCACTATAGGAGAATACATGTGTTTACCAGGAAAAAAACAAAAAAGGAATAAAAGACATTAGGAGTGAGGATGGCTTTTTGTTCAAAATTGCTAGAAAAGGATTTAGATACCTCCAATAATTTATCTCAATGTCCAAAAATTACTTGAGGTCCCATTTGGTATGAAGCATTGAAAATAAAGGATTAAGATTGAGATTGCAATTAAATAAAATCATTAAAATAGTATTTAGCATGAGTAATTATTTATTATATGGGATTAGACAAACCCATAGAGATGAAATTGGGGAATACCACTTCCCCTCATGGTATTCTCCAATCCTACATATATTGGCTAACCCCATATAACAAGCAATTTTTTATATTAAATACTCTTTTAATATATTTTCCTAATTACAGTTACAATCCTAATTTCTCATTTTCAATACTTCCTACCAAACACAACCTGACATCATCCTGCCAACGTATATCTTTGGTGAACATAAAAACGAGAAGAAGAAGAAGAAGAAATTGAAAAGTAATAAATGAATTATCCTAGGCCATTTGGCCAAGAAGGAAACCAAGGTATAATTTTTGAAAAAAAAAATCTTGCATTTTATACAACAAATTTTTCCTTACATATTTGTCTCGTACAGCATAAAATCACTTCAAATAAATTAATCCAAACACCCTTGAATTTAGGAAGAATGACAAAAATATACATTTTGAATTTAAAATGCTAAATATGTCATACTAACTATTTTTTAATAGTTTTGACATGTCAAAATCACATATTTATTATTATAAAATTCAATAGGTATTGTTTTACCATCTTCTCTTATATTTACTCGGTACTACGGTCTGTACATCTGGTTGCACAAATTGCATAGTATCATAAATAACTATTCTGGGTATTATCCATCCGCCTGGAGAAAAAAGAGAAAAACAAAAAAAATAATTCATTATTTGGGGAAAAATAGTGTCTCACAAGTAGGGGTGTTCATGAGACAGGACGGGACAAGAACAACCCCATCCTAGTCCCGTCCTGATAATTGGGATAGGACAGCTTTTCAGTCCCTTGTTCCGTCCCGTTCCAATTGGGACGGGACATAACTGGGATGGAACAGGGACGTCCAATCTCTTTTTTTGGAGTTTTTTTTTAATCTTTTTAATTTGAAAACTAATTATACATGAAGTGTAAGAACTTATGATAGAAACTATACGAAGAAAATAGATAAAAATGAGGAAACAACGGCAAAGAAAAATGTTTTTTGTAATCTTGAAAGACAAAAAATAAATAAACATAAAATATTCATTACAAAGAATATCATGTAACTCGTGCAAAAACAACTTATAAGCAAATAAAAAATAACAATTGATAAACACCATAACCAAAATACTATTATAATGGCAAATAAAATAAATTTATAACAACTAAAAATAAAAATAATATATTGAGACGGGATCGGGATAGGATATCCTCGTCCCGCATCCCGTCCCGTTCCAAAACAATTTCGTCCCATCCAAAAAACTTTCAGGATGGGACTGAGATAGGAAAGGGACATCAAGACGTGTATACGGGACACAGTTGAACATTCCTACTCACAAGTGGCAACCAGGCCGTTTTTCCATGCTGGGTGACACTGGTCCCCCAGTTCTGTTGAATGACCAGCCCTAATTCTTGGGGTTAGCAGTCAGGCATCCGTAAATATCATTTGATAATTGGCCATTAAAAAAGAGGCCCACGAGCTTATCAAACGAAACAAAAACGGACAAGGGATGATCCAGGCGGAAGGAACAAGTTCACTCGTCTTGACTTGTTCTCCCACATCCAAGCACGGGCCACTTCTATAAAAGAGAACCAGAGAGAAGGTGGGATCCTAAATCGATCAGTGGGAGAAACTTTAGTTTCTCAGAGATAGTTTATTCGCTGATACTTAGGTTAAATCAGTGAAAAAAATGCCGTTGGAAATGGTTGGGGGTGCTGTTCTGGGACTATTGTTCGATCAACTTCTAAGGGAAATAGGGATAGTGAAGATTATTGCGACGTTCAGACCCAAATTGGAAGAACTTGAAGAAACCCTGGATCTATTATATCCTGTGGTCAAGGAGATTGAAGACCTAAACAGGCGATTAAACAGGACAGATTATGCAAGGGAAACCATAATGTTGAAGAGATTGCTTGAAGATGGAACGAAGCTTGTTTCCAAGTGCTCTAAAATACCAAGATGGGATTTTTTCAAACAGTCGCGTCAGCGAGAGAAGCTGGTGGAGCTGGATAACAAAATCGTCAAGTTCATTATCCTCATGCAACCTCACATGGGAAGGGATCAAAAGCAGACGTTGCTGATCGCAAAAGAGACCAAACAGATGCTCACGTCACTCAGCCAAAATGGGCATTCATCAGATCTTACTATGGGCCTCACTGCCTCGTCCGCCCATTCTTCCTATAAGGTGATGATTTTCATCTATGTTTGGATTAAACTGTAAATTTATTTTGAAAGTTTTCACTGAATACTACACGCCCAAATTTTTTGTTCTGTGAACAAAAAATTTAAAATCATAATTAATGTTTACTGTTAAAATAGTAGCATTTAAATTTAGAATTTTTAAATGAGAGAGAGCAATATGATTATTATTTTAAACTTTCATGCTATTGAGTAGCTTTGAGTGAAAACTTGTGATGACCAATTTGGACTTTTAACTCTTTATGTTTTAATCAATCGGACTTGAATTCTTGGATTGTGGCCAAAATGACAAACAAAAAAAAATCAGCGAGAGTGAGGACTCTTGAAACTTGGTTCTTTTCCTTGTTCAATATCAAATTGCCTTTTTTATTAAGGGTAAAAAAACCTCTTTGTTGAATAATAATATTAATAATTTAATGTATATTAAATTCTTTAAATAGAAAAAATTATAGTTTTTTTTTTCATAATGACTACTAGAAAACAAGTCTCCCCCCGGGGAAATAGGACCTTAGTTATATTAATATGTTTTTTTAAATCTAACTTAGGTTTTTGTATAACATAGACTGTGTTTCAGATCGTTCTCCAAGTCAGATTAGCTTGGGAACTTCATAAGATTAAAGCGATGAGGCGCTTGAGTAGGAGCAATGGTAAGAAGTCACTATCAAAAAGTTTAAATGCACATGATTAATATTAAAAAATATAATATTTATTATAAATAATTAATTTCATTAATTTTTTTAATATTTATAAATTAGTTATCTAATTCTTGTGGAGTTATTATTACTTTCTACTACTAGTTTAGATATAGCGATATTGATTTAGAGCATTCTTTTTTTGTTTTCCCACGCCTATAGTCTTTTACTTGGCTGAAATTGAAATTATGACTTAGATAGGAAAAATTGGGGGAAAAATTTCCTTAAAAACTTTATTAGAAAGATCCAAATTAAAGTATGGATACCTCATGTGTATGAAATTCATAGAGTATTAGCATTTTTGTGTATAAAAATTTATTAGATCATTTTCACCTATAAAGTTTTTAATAGAGAATTTTTCTCCTAATTTTTCCGTTTCCATATGAAACACATACATGGTGCTTAAAATTTCCACCTTTGATTATCTTGCATGGAAAGAATTAAGCGGGAAGAAAAAAAATGGAAAGAGAGAAAATAGAAAGGAAAGAAACAGAAAAAAATATTTTCATCATTTTTTTTGGGTTGAATGAGAGGAAATAGGAAAAAAAAAGAGTAAATATCTAAATGACTAAAATATTTTTTCATATAAAAAATATATCCTGTTTAATATCAAAATTAAATACTGCAATTGAAAAATCATGTGGATATCAGCATGATCAAATAATTTAAAATCACTTTAGTAAAAATATAATTTAAAATCAAATTATTTGATAAGGTTATAGTTTGATGTTATTGTATTTTAAAATCAGATAATTTAGATAAAAATGTTATTTTTTGAGGTAAGAAACAAATTAAAAGGGGATAATATTTTCAAATCAGATATAATAAAAAAATAAATAAATTAGATATTATATAATATTATTAATAAATTTGAAAATATAATATATAAAAATAAAAGATAGATGGCATGAAAGGAAAATGAGTTTTTTTTTTTTCATATTTTCTCTCTTTATGTAGAAAGAAAATTGGAGTGAGTCTCACCCATTTTTCTCAAACTTTTCTTTTCTCATACTTTTTCTCTCATGTCTAAATGAGGAAAAACTCACTTCTTTTCTTATTTTTCTTCCTAGTTCTTTTCTTTCCTCATTTATTCTCAATCCAAATGAGGGGTTAGTCTCATTCTCCCATATTTTTTTCCCTTGTAGTAAAAAGGGAGGTGAACATGTCAAGAATTCTCAGTCTTTGGTGACACCTCTGCAGGAATTAGATCAATTCCAGGCGAAGTGTTCCGCAGGATGCGCGAAAAATTCACAATGAGCACAACTCCGAGAAGGTAAGCACGTAGAACGAAAACAGATATATCTTTAGTCGAATTACAATCAAGTCTTAAAAAAAAAATTACTAAAAAATCTCAATAACAACTCGAGCAGCTTTCATGATACCTTTAGAACTTGTTTTGTATTTTTTTTCTTGGGACCTTATTGTAATTTTCCCTTTATATATATATATATATTTAAATGTACAAGTAAGCTCTCTGCTTTTTCCCCCCACATACGCAAGCTCTCCTCTACAAATTATAAGTAAATTATTTGTAAATATTTTTCCTTTCCCTAAAAAAAAAACAATGAATATACACCTATTGAAAATCTAACTTGTTTATAACGTCTATAGATATGATTTTACGTCGTGCTGCGTTCTTCAACCTTCATGAGACTAATAATAACTCTATAATTATCATCATCTTATTAATCCGTATTTTTATATGACTTTTCAGAATCGAGTATTATTGGACTCAATTGAGAGGAACTCTGTCAAAAGCATTTTCTGCATTTACATGGAATCGAATTCGAGATTTTATGCGTCCAAAGCCCTTCTCACAAGAACCACCAAGGTAATTTATCTTTTAAATTTTCCATCCACAAATGAGAGAATGCATTTAAAATCTCAGCAGGTATTATCCACTTATTGAAGAATTTTCCTAGTAGCCTTTTGGAATTTAGTTAAAATACTATAATTTTTTTTTTTTAAAAAAAAGTCTTTTGGTTCAACTGTGAATTTTCTACTTTTCACCTCTGAAATTGATTTGTAAATCCGGGAGTGATATTTGTCAATCTCTGTTATAGTCTTTGTAAAATTTATTAAGCAAATTTGTGAATACATTTTCAATGACCTTTTCATATCTACCCCTAGCTGATAAACCCGAATTATACCTTATAAAATATTTATATTGGAGCTTAAATTCCATATACTACCTCCGGTTCTTAATAGAAGACCTTATTTGACTTTTATTTTGGTTCTAAATACAAAACCTCAATTCACTTTGTCTCTCATATTTATGCATTTTTTCCAAAATAATCCTTCTAATAGTAGTAGTTCTAACCAATACACTTGATTAGTAAGAATATTTTAGGAAAGACAACACCTATTTTTTACAAATAACTAACTTAATTTCTTTCTTTAATCTCCTCAAATTAGTCAACTAGCTCTTATAATTAGGATCAGAGATAGTATTTTAGTTATGTTTTGAGAGGAATTCAGTGTGCTTTCACCTACTCTAATTCTGTGGAATTCTCAGGTGTATGTGCAGCAAGAAAGGAAAACTGACGAGAGACATGTTCAACAATGGATAAAGAAGGAGATGGCACGGAAAAGAGGGAGACGGGACGGGCGGAAACGCCACGCCATGGACGGAAGAGCAAATACACCTCAAATGCGCCAAGAATGACGAGAGTAACATGAGAGCCAATAATTAGGACACTTTAGGAATAATTGCTGTTAGAGATAATGAGCTTAGTTAATATCATATTGATTAATTATAAAAAGAAATATCATATTGGTTAAGATTTTGTATGAGTTAGTTGACGACCAAAGTGTGCATATGTAGGGTCTTTGCCTGAGTTAAATGTGTGGGATAGTAAAATTCTCATCTAATATAGGTCCTTTCTTAAGCCCCAAGTGGAGTTTGTCGTTCACCTTTAATGGGTCTATGGTTTCACTTTTTTTAATTATTAATGAGAATTTGATCATCTTTATTTTTCTTTGTTTAACAATTATTATTATTATTATAATAGGCTCATAGTTAATTCACAGAGAAGTAACTAGCAGCTAGTAGGATGAATCCGAATCCTATTATGCTTCGGTGATTGGATATTGCTCTTGTTAAATTCATAGTTATTTTCTTATTTGCACTCTTCTCATTAATTTGATTTATGAATCAAATATTTCTCTCTTTTTCTCTACATGTAATGGGAATGGCAAAATCTATGCCTTTATCTAGGTTCAACACCTGAAATATTTCTCTGGTTCTAAATATAAGACTCATTTTGTAGTGTAAATTATACTATAACATCGATATTATATTTAGGACCGGAGGGAGTACTTCAACAACTTATTATTGCGGTGCCATATACATTCTGATTAGGTTCTGGTTTTAGTGTGTGAGATTTGGCTGCATGTTTCTGCATCTGCTCTAATGTTGCATCCATTCTCAGAATCATCTCCCTGAGAATACTCATATCTCTCGCCCACCCCTCAATGCTCCCTCTCTCATCCCTTGGCCTAACTCCTGCACATCCGGGTGAACACTTTCCCCCATACTTCTCTACTCTACCCCTGGGATTGGGTTGGTCTAGTACCAAAATGTTAGGACCCTGCTTTAAACAAATATGTCAACAATATTACAACTGGAGATAGATAGCAAAATGTAGACATAAGAATGACAATACTTTCATTGCAGAATACAGGGGAAAAAAAAAATACAGACACATAACAGAATAACTCTACACTTTCGACAGGTCAGGGCTCTCCAAAACCTTACTATTCTTCCAATAGATTTCCTATTCCCCCTCTCTGAAGCAAAGGAAGGATTTAAGGACTCAAAAAGTGAATTTCACAATTCCCAACTAATAGACTTTAACCATTGCAGCTCTATAGCTACCTTACTCTCCCTTTCCTTTTTCAAAATAGCAGGTCAAAATTCTGCCAAACAAAAAAGTACCTTTCCCTTAGCATCTATTTTCCCAGGTTTCCAAAAGTGATGCTAACCGTGAACTCTTTTAGAGGGGACATGCCAACAGAGTTTGCAGGTTTGTATTTTCTTGAATCTTTGAACCTCTCTTACAAAGGCAATGAATCCTTATGGGGACGTCCATTGACACAGAATTGTAGTTTGGGTGAGATTCCAGGTTTGCAAACACCATCTTGTAAAGCAACTGAATCAAATTAAATGATGGGAACTCTAATTGATTGGAATTTTTTTAAATGCTGAATTGGGATTTACTTTTGGCCTTGTCATCATCATCTTTCCTCTCATGTTCTCTGAAAAATGGAGGTTGCAATACTACAAATATGCAGACTACATACTTTGAAAGATCGTCCCTTAGCTTGATTTTGGATCAATTCCCCCAACTCAACACCCCCCCCCCCCAAAAAAAAAAGAGATGAATAAAATCAATAGGAAGTAAATCATGGTTTTCTTTCTATCTAGTACTTCTGGTTAGTCTTATTGTCTTATTTCAATACAGATGTTAGACATAAAATAAGATCACGGGAGAGTTGATACAGAGTAGTTTTCCTATCATTGTTCAAGGCTGGTTTGAATGTGCTTTTTTTCCGAAAGTTAAGTATTAACTTTAATATAATGACATTCCATTTAAAAAAAAAGAGAGAGAGCAAATTTAACTTATAAATGAAAGATGACAAGTTTTTAAAATTGTAATAAATTTAGAGTTGCTATATCTTTTATGGAGTTCTTTATATTTCAAGCAATTAGTTGGTGCATGCTTAAATGAATAAGCAACCGCATGATGATCAATATATTAATATCATCAATATCAAGAGTTACGTTATTCACAGCCCAATGAGAAATGCAATTTTTTTTGTACTTCATGCAATTTTTGTTCAATCTTTCAATTTTCTTTGAACCAAGTAGAAGTGACATCAATCATCGAGAACATTATTTCTGTTTAATCAAAATCAACAACTTAGTAACCTTTGGAATCCTGCTCATCTAAATCTAAACCCTTTTTTTTTGTAGAAACAAAAAAAAAAAAAACCAGCAGGTTGGCCAATTAACACCCATCTCTTTCCGTTGTCACTTTTTCCTTTATCATTAGATTAGAAGGATTCCGCTCTGTAAAATAGGGGCTGGGGGGAAGATGTTCATGTTTCAAAACAATAGAGTACTTAAAACAACGTGAATAATACAATAATATGATTCCTCTTGAGTAAGGAATTAATAACTCTAGATTATGTTAAATTACATATATTTTATAACAAAATAATTAATACTGTATTTATATATATTTTAATATTTTTGTAACTCATATCTTGCTACACCTTTGACTTTCAAGTCTAAAAATTCTTTTTAATATTTTTTTTAAATATACAAAGGCATTTAGTCACACACTTGATTATTTTGATGGTGGAGAAAATTAGTTGCTGCCGCCAACAATATTAACACAACTTTGATTAAATACTAGGGCTGTCTGAAACCAAAAATGTGTTTGGTAATTACAAAAAGCACTTTCAAAAAATACTTTCACACTAATCAAAACAAAACTCATCTCACATACTTACTTCATATATCATAAAACTAGTTTTAAAATCATTTTCTTCCAAACACTCCTTAAGACAAGTTTTGAACAGTGTATCTTTATCAAATGGAGCATAACTGTGACAATAGATTCAAAACGCCAGAAGCTACATATTACCACCAAGGGCTGAACAACACAACTTTGGAAAGAAACCTTTACCACATCTTTTGACATAATTATGGATTATGGATTTCAAGTAGGATAACGCAGAAAACGCGTCAATATTTTCAAATTGTTATCTGTTCACAAAACTTCAAATTTGCCTCTCTAATTCCTAAAAATAGGCAATTTGCAATTCTGTATAGCATGAAAAGTAACTAGACATGCTGATTCTAAGCAGCTGTTTATCTTACAAAGTAAAATTGATAATATTAGCACAAGAAGAGGATAGGATTGGGGTCTCCCTTCTGGGAGACACTTCAACTTGTTGACCTTACCTCAAATAATTTAAATGGTACTCTACCTATAGTGCTCCTACAAAGTTGGAAAGCATTGATGAGACTGGCTGAAGATGAAAGTGGCACAAAATTTGGCCAGTTGTCTTTTGCCATCTATGACAATGCTAATGTTGTGGACTTCAAGAATGTATTATCAACTGTGAACAAAGATCTTGCACCAAAACTAGGTGAATTGATAGCAGTAGAACCACCTTTTGTGATTAGCCACTTATTCTCTGATATTAATGCCAATGATTTTGGTCGTCGAAGTTATCTAAATTCGGTGACAATTGTCAATAAAGGAGGACAACTAAAGTTGTTTAAGATTCTTACGGCCTTCACATCTTTTGATTTCTCATCCAACCATTTTGAAGGGCCAACACCATAAGAGCTAATTAATTTCAAAGCACTTCATGCTCTTAATTTGTCACAAAATGCTTGTTCAGGCCATATCCCTTCATTGATAAGGAGTTTGAGGTATCTTGAGTCCTTAGACTTGTGTGTGAACTCTTTTAGAGGGGACATACCAAGAGAGCTTGCAAGTTTGTATTTCCTTGAATTTTTGAACCTCTCTCACAATCATTTGACTGGAAAAATCCCAACAGGGACTCAAATTCAGTCATTTGAAGCAGATTGTTTCAAAGGCAATGAAGCCTTATGTAGACCTCCAGTCACACAGAGTTGCAGTTTGCGTGAGATTCCAGGTTTGCAAAGACCATCTTCAAAAACAGTTGAATCAAATGATGGGAACCCCATTGATTAGAATTTTTCAAGTGCTGAATTGGGATTTACTTTTGGCCTTGGTATCATTATCCTTCCTCTCATATTCTGTCAACAATGGAGGTTGCAATACTTCAAATATGCAGACTACATACTTTGGAAGATCATCCCTCAGCTTGATTTTGTATATGAACGTCATGGAGGGAAAACTTACAGAAGCTTAAGATGGAAACCATGTTAATTTCTGTCAAATAAAGAAGAAAAAGCCTGCAATTCATTCCCCTCGGGAGGCGCCCCAGGAATAAAAACAAAAGAAAGAAAAAAGAAAAAACTAGGAAGAGATGAATAAAATCAATAGGAAGTGAATCATGGTTTTCTTTCTATCATGTATTTCTACTTAGTCTTATTGTCTTGATAGAGTTCAAATGCTAGACATACAATAAGAGTGCAAATGAGAATAAAGGGTTGATAGAGTAGTTCTTGCTTTTACTATTATTGTTCAAGGTTAATTTGAATTTTCTTTTCTCCAAAAGTTAACTTTAATATAATGATGTTCCAATTTTTAAGAGCAAATTTAACTTAGAAATGAAAGATGATAAATTTTTGAAATTGTAACAAATTTAGAGTTCCCATTTCTTTTATAAAGTTATTTACATCAAGCATTCTGCTGGACGCACTAGATATTATTTTACCTTTAAATGAATAAACAACCGTATAATCATCGATACATCAATATCAATGTAAATATAAAATTTTATAAGAGTCATCATAAGTAATGCGATTTTTTTGGGACCCCATGCAATTCCCCCCCCCCCCCCCAATATCTTTCAATTTTCTTTCAACCACGTAGAAGTGCCATCAATCATTCAGGCATTATTTGCATCGAATCAAATTAGGACAGTTTACTGGAGAAAGCTGGGGAATCCAACAATGGCGCCGAAGGCTTTTGAGCATTTCAGAAAAAGACTACGATAAGGAAAGGCACTACTAATATAGAATCAAAATTAAAAAGTAAAAAAACAATGCTCTGATTTTTTATTTAACTGACACAACTCTACTTCAAAGACCAAAAAAAAAAGAGTATCTTTTTCTGCTGAAAATTAAGATTCAGGGCCTGCTCAATGGTTATAAACTATGCGCAGGCTCCTTAAATTTTATTATGCTTGGCCTCTCAGTAATTTTACGATCCTGGTGTTACTTTTGCTTGCTTGACCTGTCTCCCTGTAGTACTGTACAATTTTACTTGAATAAAATACACACTTTCATCCCAAAAAAAGAAAAGAAAAAGAAAGATGAGGGTCTTTTGGGGCACCAAAAGCAACACCCATCTCTGTGTTGTCACCTTTTCCTTTTATCATTAAATTACAAGGAATCCACTCTCTGTAAAATAGAGGTTGGCAGAAAGTGTTCATGTGCTGTTTCTAAACAAGATAAAGCACCTAAAATTAATGTAAATAGTACAATAACATGATTACTCTTGCATTTTAAATAACTCTAGAGTATGTTTAATTCCATATATTCTAGGAAAAATTATTAAGAAATTTCAAGAAAAAAATTTAATGACGAAAAAATCTCAATAATAAGTAATCAACTTAAATCTATTGTCATTCTTTTCTTTAAAACTTGTCATTGCTTATTCTTCATTTGTCAATGAATTTTAAGGTAGCTAAATCCCTTTCTCGAAACCTGAATGCAAAGCCATCATGTTCATTTGTTATATTTGGACCTAATTTCAGCAAAACATGATGCTCTGTAATTAACAATCCAGGTTTTTTCTAATGGAACACGATTGAATTAAAATCCCCAGTGATTCAATTTTAGCAGCCGTGTAACCTCCAAGTCGTGTCACAATCAAGTGCCTCGTTCTGCACTGAGCTTAAAACCGACCTGAGGAGGGCATAGATGTGGGCATAGATGTGGGCATTGTGGCTGAGAAGAGAACCAATCATAGTATTAACTAGAATAACAAATGTTTACAATTAACTCATCTGTTTCTATTCCCATGTCAAAAGAATTGCAGTTGATGTCAAGCGGGCCGCTCGGGCTTTTTGAACAGTTTACTTAGCAGCATAATCATCCCCTCTGATCCTCATAATTTACAAAAAAAAAAAATCATTCACAATAGGTTATTTGATCGGTGATTAGCTAACTTTCAATGTACACACAAAATCTTGCACTACAAGTCAAGTGCAAACCTAATATGCTACATTGTGTCTTGCTCTTCCCCGTTGTCATTTCTTTTTCCCAAGAACCAGTCCACACACGGGCTAAGTGAATGAGAGCACTCCATAAACATATAAAGACAAAACAAGTATAATCCTGCAATAAAGGACATAAATCTCAGCTAAACCATAAATTCAAATCTGCAATTGGTGCGGAAAAGATTTACGATCGGTAGAAAGAATAAAATGGGCCAGGAATATAGAAGTAGAACAAAAATCTTCCTCCCCAAAAGGTTCCAGGCATTTTTCTAACACTCCATTTTAAGGATTTGGAATTCAAAATTGACAGCATATCAACGTGTTATAGCTCTAGTTAATTGGCTCTTTTGACATATAATTATTCATAATTGGCTCCAGTTTTCATCTCTGCATCAAAAAAGATACATCCAACAATTTGCAACTATACAACAGCATTGCCAAGGTTGACGCCAAACAGCTGGGGACTAGAAAAGCAGAGAAAATCTAGACCTCAAAATCATTAGACTATTTCAGGAGAAAAAGGTAAAAAGAAAAAATTAATTACCGTGGTAGCTCAAAAGAAGGAACAAGAAAAGTGGATATTAAGGTGACATACCAGCATTGGCAACTGTTGCACCCAGAGCCAATCTTCCTAAAGCAGACAATACATAAAGGCAAAAAAACACCTGAAATAAGATGTACATAAACCATTAGTTGTTTTACATGCCTCTTCATCAAAAGCAAAATCAAATGTATGACAACTACTATGGGATTATAACTGTCAAAATGAACCAGTGCTTTCTGGAATCTAAGCACACAAATAGTCCAATACTTTGAGAGAATGGCAGGGTGAATGAATTCTTATTCAATGATCAAACAACCTTAAATGTTGGCAGAGGATGTTAACAGATTGCTAATGAATGGAAAACATATTAAAATGCAGTCAAGATAAGCAAAAGATGCACAAATTGCAAAACTAATGACATTCCATCAGATGCAATGGTGAGTTGCCTCCCAATCTTCTCAAAGGCACGTCCCACGTCCATAACCATAGAATAACTTGAGCCAATAGTGGCTCATTTTCATTTGCTCCAATAACTTCGCATTCAACACCCATAGTTTCACGCCTTAGCAAAACTTGAATTCAAATAGGTCATGCTCATGTGTTTCTCTTATATAAACATTAAATAAAGACTCATGAGACATAAAACAAAAAGGAAAAACCACAATTTCTAGAGATTGAATTGATGTTTTTTACTAAGTGAAGATAGATTTAAGTTGCAGAAACTAAACAATACCTTTAGAAACAGTCTCTTGTCATGCCCTGTTGCTGCAACTCTTAATACAGACTCGGCTGCACCTATGGTATTAACGAACCACGCAACAATGTTATTAGCAGTGTCCTGAGTTATTTGCCATTCAAGTGGATCGACCGGGACCCTAAAACAGTTTTTCAGAAGGAGACAGGGTGTATTAGATAAGTTGAAAATATGAAGGCCATTTGCAAATGAAGAACACACATCTTCCTTCTGCATCAAAGCGTGAATCTGATGAAAAAGAAGACTAAAGACATAAGCACGATAGAGAAAACACTAAAAATACACTTATGAAATCATATCAGATGTCCAAGACGCCAACCAAGGCGATCATTCAAAATTTTAAAAATTCAAAAATCAAAAGGACCGAATAATTTTGTTCTAACTGATTATGCTAGCAATTAGTATTGAGAAATAGGATATGCCGTCATCCATGTTTAAGGCAACTAAGAGCTAAGACTAAATTGTGTCCAAAGTATCGTTATATACAGAAAAGCAGATTGAACAAGAAAAGAAAAGGAAGGGGAAAAAAACCCTAATTGGATGGTTTAATTTGACAAATTAAGCGACAACGAGAAAGATGAAGGAAAAAGAACAAACTTGGGTGATTACGATATGTTCGTTCGACGCAAGAGAAGGCCGAGAATGGCGAGGGAGCAGAGGAGAACAATGAAGACATCGGAGACCAAAGAAACGAGGCCAGAAATACCAGGGTGACGCATAACAACACCATCATCGGCTTCCCTACTTCGCCCCTTCTGCTCTCCATGATTCTCGCGACCCGACAACTGATCTCCCTCGTACCATGTCCCTGCATAGACAAGTGCAAATCAGCAAGCCTGCCTGCCAAGTTTTCCTTTGGACTTCCACTTCAAGTTTCAACTTTCAACTAATTCCAGTATTTCCCCTTATCTTCAATTTAAAATAAATGGCCCCTAAAATTTGGGGCAAGTCCTGTTAGTCCTGAAGGCTTTGTTTGTTTCAATGGAGGGGAGGGGAGGTTAATTGTGTTTGGTATGAGGGAGGGAGGGAGATTTTAATCATTTCTCTTTATTTGGCAACACACAGATTTTAGGAGGGGAGGGGAAATTTTTCCCCTCCCCTCTTCAACCTCCCCTCCAAAATTGGGAGGATTTGGAGGGAAAGGGCAATATTTTGTTATATTATGACCCTTATACCCATATTTTGTCATGTGGTGACCATTATGTCTATATTTTGTTATGTTGTGACTATTATGCCCACGCCTTAAATAAAATAAAAGCAAAATTGTCCATATTAAAATATTTTTCCCTCCCCTCCCCTCTTTTTTTATAAATCCAAATAAGATAATATTAAAATCCCTCCCCTCCCCTCCCCTCCACTCCCCTTCCCTCCACTAAAATCCCTCCCCTCCCCTTCCTCTCATTGAGCCAAACATACCCTAAAGGAAGGGGAGGGAAGGGGAGGAAAAGTCATGGGTTTTGTTTGGTTGGAGGGAAGGAGAATGAATGGGAGATTTCTTATTTGGTTCACAAGGGGAGGGGAGGGGAGGGGATTATAAATTGACAAATATGCCCTTATCTTTATGTTTAGACTAATTTATTCTTTTATTACAATATTTATATCAAAATTATTATTTCCGAATTTATCAATTTCAAAAAAACCAATTACCTCACTTATATGTGATAAAAAAATTATGAAATAAAAGTATAATATATATTAGAAAAGTAAATGGGAGAAAAAAAGACAATACCTTAACTATATAATAATACCCTCCACATATTAGGAAATAAAAAATATATATGATATTAACAGTGTCATTTTAGAATTATAATATATATTAATATATATAATTAATTAATATATTAACATATATGCATATTATATTTGTGTGTGTGTGTATATAACTGAGCGACTGCAGAAGGGAATGCGAAGGTAATCATGCGAAACCAAAAAAATATCAAGAGGGCACCACTGGAATATTCAAAAAATGGCATGGACATATTTGTCAAGATACTCATAATATTTCTGGGGGTTTTTGGAGGGGAGAGTCCTCTCCCCCCAACCAAACACATCCTCCCATCCCCCTCCCAAACCCCATCCAAACAAAGCCAATAAAATAAAATCAAATTTTAGAAATTAAAACTATTTACTACCTTCAAGAATTAAAATTAGGACCGGTAGTATTTAAAATTTTAGAAGCTAAAACCAAAAAAATCAAATTTCAGAAACTAAAACAAAAATAATATCTAATTTTATGGCCTAAAACTAATATTCATTCAAAATTTATAAAACAAAGCTTCATGAGAGTTTGGCAACCTTTAGAATCACTTAAAAAAAAATATTATCATACAAACTGTGACAACCGTTCTTTCAAAACCATTTTAGATTAAATCCAACAATTTATTTGAATGATTAACCATGATAGAAAAGAAGAAATCTTAAAATTTTAAAATCGCTATCATGGTTAAAAAAATAAACTTATATTACGAGCCACATCAATTATTAACTTGGATCTTGGACTTTTAAAGTCCAGAAATATCATTTAACCGTTAGTCCAAACCAAACTTATACTTTCAAACACACAAAATAATAAAACATTTTAATACAAGTCATGAAGCCCATTAGTCAAAAGTCAACACTATTAAATGAGCATAATACGCAAAGTCTTAAATATCTCTGGCCTTCCAATGACCTCCCATATCAGATAGTAATAATTAAGAGTATTAGTTTACAGTATTAGAGTATATGGGCCCTATGTGGCAATATATAACAAGTCAACACATAAAACAAAAGCAGGGAGGCTATACAAGCTGTAATAGCACAATATGCCTTCAGAGCCTTCCCTGATGGGCCACCACCGAAAAAACCACGGGGTAAGACAAACGCCTCAATAACCAACTTTCCCACTCATTATACATACTAACACGTGTTCGTGAGGTGTCAAATGGGACAGTTACTAATTCTCGAAAACATAGATATATAATTTCAATCATCCAAACCCTCACTATGGAGACTAACACACAAGCTACATAAGTCTATCCCTCACTATGGGGGATTAATCAGACATATAGGCATATCCCTCACTATGGGGGACGAAGGAAAAAGCCAACCAATGTGCACCAATGGCAGCCTTACCACGTGATAGAATAGCGCTCAATCCAAAATCCAAATAACAACCAATCATGCACAATATAACAAAAATGTCTCAATAATCTTTTCTCAGTATAATCCATAAGATATAAATCATATATCTTTTCCAAACTTCTCAATCACAATTTCCAAAAATCCCACAAGACAATTTTTATAGCTCAAAAGATATCATATATCTACTCGAATTCCAAATAACAAATATTATTCAAAAATAGGAAAATACTCACAAACAACATATTAGCACATATAACAAGTAGAAAGTGGTTACTTCTCGCCAAAGCAATACTAAGGATTACCACAAGGTCAATCCCTTGCTCAACCAAGAATTAATCTACACAATTAATAACAACATATTAATATAAGCTAATTAATTAATTAAGCTTATATGTTAGTTAGATTTCTACTTTAATTTAATCTTTATTCTAAATTCCCAAAATACTCATAACCCAAAGTTAAGTATTTTAGAAATAACTTAAAATTTTCTAACAAGCCAAATTATTTATTTACCACCTCCAAATTATTTACCTTAATAAAAAGGATTTTCAACAATTTCCAAATATAAAATTATTATGTTCTAAATTCTAAAAATCTTCATTTAAGTTTAAACCTCAAAATCAAACTATCAAAAATTAAATAATGCTTCAAATATTTATAAATAAATAATCTAATCAAAACTTTAATGGTATAACTACCATATATATTTCCGTAAATAATAAAATTTTTAGCTACAATAATTATTTTAAAACCTCCAGTCACCCAATAAATAAAACTAAACCGATTAAAATCTCAATAATATATCAAATAATCCAAATAAATTATTTAACTTGAATTTAATCGGTAAAAATATGATATATTCCATAAATAACAGATTTTCAGTTAAATAAATTAATTTAAATACTAAAACTAACAAATAGAGAAATCTAAACCGATTAAAATTAACAACTCATTTACTTCTAAATTTCTATAGTTATCTTTTGTCAAAACTCAATACTTATATCATATATAAGTCTCAAAATTTTCTCCAATCACTACAGTAATAATGTAAATAGGAAGCTCAAAATATACAGGAAATATTCATAAAGAAATATTGATAAAAAGAAGTAATTTTATGTACCTAAAATATCTTCAAAGCTTGTTTTCTCCTTCACCGGTCTGCTCCTCTCTCTCTCACCCACTCTAACTCTCTTTCTCTCTTTCCTTCTTGAGTGCCGCGGAACTGGATTGGGGGGTGTGTTAAAATAACACTCCCACACATTTATTATGCTCCCTCATATTCCTCTCCCAACCCCCAACTCCCACTCTCATCCTTCAATTTTCAACATTCATGTTTAACTTTCCACGCTACTCCAAATTTTCCACCTTCACACTTCAACTTTCCACCGAAAGTTGGTGGAAAGTTGACTCTTATATATTTTTTTTATTTTTTTAAATATTAGGATATTACAATTCTCCCCACCTAAATAGAATTTTGTCCTCAAAATTCAAACAACCACACACAAGAAATAAAAACAAAAGTAACTCAAAGTGCTTACTAAGAAAATAGGTAAGGGTACTCGTAACGCATCTATTCCTCCATCCCCCAAGTAGCATCGCCAGGACTCATGCCCTTCCAAAAGACTTTAACAAGACGGATAGTTTTGTTTCTCAATTGTTTATCCTTCACGTCCAAAATCCGCTCTGGTTCTGCTGCATAGGTCAAATTATCTCGCAACTCCACCTCTTCAGGCTCAATAACATGAGACGAATCGGGATGATACTTCTTTAATTGTGACACGTGGAACACGTCGTGTAAACTAGAAAGATGTGGTGGCAGCGCAATTCGATATGCAACAGGTCCGATCCACTCTAAAATCTCATAAGGGCCTATGAATCGGGGTGTAAGCTTCTTAGCTTTGATGGATCTGCTTACCCCAGTGACAGGTGAAACCTTCAAAAATACATGATCACCCACTCGAAATTCTAATGGTATCCTCCGACGATCCGCGTAACTCTTCTGTCGACTTTGGGCCATCAATAACTTCTGCTTGATCAACTCAATCTTTCTGGTTGTGATGTCCACTAAATCTGGGCCAATAATTATTCTTTCACTTAATTCAGTCCAACAAAGTGGAGATCTACACTTCCTCCCATACAAAGCTTCATATGGTGCCATTTGAATACTGGTATGATAGCTGTTGTTATAGGCAAACTCTGCTAATCCCAAGTGAGTGTCCCAACTACCTTTTAGCTCTATAGCGCAAGCCCTCAACATGTCCTCGAGAGTCTGAATAGTCCTTTCGGTCTGTCCATCGGTCTGAGGATGATAAGCAGTACTAAACATGAGCTTAGTGCCCATCACTTCATGTAATGACTGCCAAAAGTTTGATGTAAATCTCGGGTCCCTATCTGAAATGATAGACTCTGGCACTCTGTGAAGTCGAACAATCTCATCTATATACAGCTTTGTCAATCGTTCCAAAGAGTAAG